GACATCCTTACACATGCAACATCCGACATTACAATGAAAGAAGTATTCAATGACATCCTTTACACATGCAACATCCGACATTACAAGAAGTATTCAATGACATCCTTACACATGCAACATCCGACATTACAAGAAGTATTCAATGACATCTTTACACATGCAACATCCGACATTACAAGAAGTATTCAATGACATCCTTACACATGCAACATCAGACATTACAAGAAGTATTCAATGACATCCTTACACATGCAACATCAATGACATTACAAGAAGTATTCAGTGACATCCTTACATGCAACATCAATGACATCAACATCCGACATTACAAGAAGTATTCAATGACATCCTTACACATGCAACATCCGACATTACAAGAAGTATTCAATGACATCCTTACACATGCAACATCCGACATTACAAGAAGTATTCAATGACATCCTTACACATGCAACATCCGACATTACAAGAAGTATTCAATGACATCCTTACACATGCAACATCCGACATTACAAGAAGTATTCAATGACATCCTTACACATGCAACATCCGACATTACAAGAAGTATTCAATGACATCCTTACACATGCAACATCCTCGACATTACAAGAAGTATTCAATGACATCCTTACACATGCAACATCCGACATTACAAGAAGTATTCAATGACATCCTTACACATGCAACATCCAGACATTACAAGAAGTATTCAATGACATCCTTACATTACAAGCAGACATTCAAACATCCGTATCAATGACATCCTACACATGCAACATCCGACATTACAAGAAGTATTCAATTACAAGATTCAGACATCCTCATCCTTACACATGCAACATCCGACATTACAAGAAGTATTCAATGACATCCTTACACATGCAACATCCGACATTACAAGAATATTCATCCAATGACATCCTACACATGCAACATCCGACATTACAAGAAGTATTCAATGACATCCTTACACATGCAACATCCGACATTACAAGAAGTATTCAATGACATCCTTACACATGCAACATCCGACATTACAAGAAGTATTCAATGACATCCTTACACATGCAACATCCGACATTACAAGAAGTATTCAATGACATCCTTACACATGCAACATCCGACATTACAAGAAGTATTCAATGACATCCTTACACATGCAACATCCGACATTACAAGAAGTATTCAATGACATCCTTACACATGCAACATCATTACATCCGACATGCAACATCCGGACACATTACAAGAAGTATTCAATGACATCCTTACACATGCAACATCCGACATTACAAGAAGTATTCAATGACATCCTTACACATGCAACATCCGACATTACAAGAAGTATTCAATGACATCCTTACACAACATCCGGTACATTACAAGAAGTATTCAATGACATCCTTACACATGCAACATCCGACATTACAAGAAGTATTCAATGACATCCTTACACATGCAACATCCGACATTACAAGAAGTATTCAATGACATCCTCACGGTGCAACATCACATGCAACATCCTTACACATGACATTACAAGAAGTATTCAATGACATCCTTACACATGCAACATCCGACATTACAAGAAGTATTCAATGACATCCTTACACATGCAACATCCGACATTACAAGAAGTATTCAATGACATCCTTACACATGCAACATCCGACATTACAAGAAGTATTCAATGACATCCTTACACATGCAACATCCGACATTACAAGAAGTATTCAATGACATCCTTACACATGCAACATCCGACATTACAAGAAGTATTCAATGACATCCTTACACATGCAACATCCGACATTACAAGAAGTATTCAATGACATCCTTACACATGCAACATCAAACATTACAGATCAAATTGTGACAACAATGATGAGTTAGCACCCTTTTACATTCGATAATTCAGACTTTTGAAGTCAAATATGTTTTTACACTGTCATGAATGATTGATTCAAGAAATAATTTGTATTTATTGAGTTATTGCTGACTTTGCTGTAAAATTCCATTTCACACTTGATATTAATCAGTAAAATGTTACAAACAAATACATAAATCACTGAAGGTAATTTTTTGTCAATGTGCTGATGTTCACTATGCAGGCACAGTTGTATCATGGAATGCTGTAGGATTTTGTAGGAATTTGCACCCAACTGAGAAAGGTCTGCCACTACTCTTTGCTTTCACTGTGCTTTGCTGACACATGCTTAAGGAGATTGTACTTGCTATTTATCACCTACATAATCCCCTGTATGTGTTCTTGCACACTTTACTGGCCCCATTTCCAAGTTCCAGTTCAGTTTTTCCATATTGACTTTTTGTCAGTGTGACCCGCTTTCTCCTTGATATATGTTGCTTTGACATACTTGTCATCCTGAAATTGACCATTACCTTCCTGAAATAGAAATATAGATTAATAATGTTTTGGTTGTTGTACTTTACTGCAGTTGAATGGTATTGATATAAGTTTTAAATAATATTGAGGCTTTTGAGGCTGTGTGTTCACTGCGAAAATTCAATTTTGTTATAGATGCAGAAAAACTGAAAACGCATACATACATGCTTGCTCACTCTCTCAGTCACTGAAGGGGCAGTGGGGTAGCCTAGTGGTTAAAGCGTTTGCTTGTCATGCCAAAGGCCCAGGTTCAACTCTCCACATGGGTACAATGTGTGAAGCCCATTTCTGGTGTCCCCTGCCGTGATGTTGCTGGAATATTGCTAAAAGGGCGTAAAACGCCAACTTACTCACTCACAGTCACTGAACCACTTTGTATGACAGGTTCAATTAGTAAGTTCCACTCACTCACTCTGATAAGCTTAACACTGTTACAAAATTTTGCATTCTGTAACTTGAACCACTTTTTATAGTTTTCCTTACGTTGTTTGAATCTGGAACAGTTACATTGTGATGTATTCGATACATAGCTCTGGAACACACTTCAGACATGTTCCACATAACTTGTCAGTCTGACACTAAAATTCACTGTATCCTAAAACACATACTGTGATTATGACAACTGAAAAAAGTATTTATGGTTCCGGAATAATAATTTATGGTTTCAGCTGCAGCGACTGAAATTTGAGTACTTCACATGCTGATAATCACAAATACTTCAGCCTTTTTGCTTATTTTACAAACATCAGCAGAACCGGTAGAAAAGAGTGGATAAGCCGTGAAAGATCTTCTGGAATGAAGATATATGTAATTTGTCATTTATCATCATAAACTTGCGATATATGAAACATAAAGTTTCAAAAACAAATTCTTGTGGTAGTAGAACGGCCAGAAATGGGTTTCAGTGTCTGGAGGCTACTGAGATAGGAATAGCATGAGTACCTTGTATGACTGCTGTTTGTCATTAAATCCTACTTTCAACTGTAACCTACACTACTTGTGAGATGAGACAGGGTGGTGGGGTAGCCTCATGGTTAAAGCGTTTGCTCGTCATAAGGAAGACCTGGGTTCGATTCCCCACATGGGTACAATGTGTGGAGTCCATTTCTGGTGTCCCACGCTGTGAAATTCTTGGAATATTACTAAACTCACTCACTCACTCATAAGAGGTGAGTATGGTTTTAAGCCACTTTTAGCAATATTCCCGCAGTAACACCAGCTATGGGTTTCACACATTGTACCCATGTGGAGAATCGAACCCGGGGTCTTCGGTGTGACAAAATAATGCTTTAACCATTAGGCTACCCCATCGTCCCCATAAGAGGTGACAAATAGGGCCATGTGACAAATAGCACCATGTGACCATGTGACATCATAACCTTACAGCATGAAATGTTGTTTATCATATCAACCACTAGTTTTTTCAGGCTGCATTGAAACAACTTCAAGATTCAACAAAAAACATAACATTTTAACATTGTTACATGGTCATATCAAATTAAAATGCAAATGTTAACCCAGAAATGGGTTCACACAAAAGTCTGTGTGAAATCAGTAAGTGGCCACTCTAGATTAATAAATAATCAACAAATCATATTCAAACACAGAGTATTAGGTTTACAATCAAAAGCAGGTACTTGATCACTTCAACAGGTCCAGATGTTCAACTTGAGTACCCTGTGGGTGAAACTTGCCCTGTGCTTGAGAACCAGATGATAAGCACCTTTTGATAACATAATTATCTTTATAAATAAGAGTTCAGCGTGTAGGCTTATTTTACTTCCCGTTTCCAGTAAATAGAAGCAAATCATATATAACTTGATATAAATAGAATGTAAATAAACCCACCTGTGTCCCATTTTCATTATCATGACTTTCTTTGGCATGCTGACCTTCATGGTGCAAGGTATTTACACAGATGTACATTGAAATGTCTCAAACAACTATAGGTCTTGATGTTAAGTGAATCCACTTCCACGTAATTTATTTACTTTGGACAAAAACTTGCTCTGTGTTTTTGTAACAACAGGATATATGTTTGAAATATTTATCAACTGTCTATTGACAACAGTCTTATGAGAATGTACCTATTAAAATAAGCTCATGTGTGATTGGATTACTGACAGAACAATCATCCAAAGAAATTACTGAAAAGAGGAAATGCTGCTATTGCTGTTCTAAATGTACACCAGCTGTCATTTGTAGCTTAGATTTTTTTCTAAATTATTAGACTTTCACTCATTTTATACACGTATATTGAAATAAACAAAGGATGTGAATTTGAGTTAACTCTCCTTAACAAGTACTTGCATCATCAAAACTCTATTTTGCTGAAACTGACCAGTCCCTGAGTGTCCAGCCCTATAATCGGAAGGTGTAAATGTACATCTAACCCTCAAGAAACAGTCCCATTCCCAAACTTCTGAAATGATCAAGCATGTCGTGGTTGTAAACAATGACCAGGGGAGTTAACTCTGATCATGTGCTGCTAATAATAGCACTCAACATTGCACCGTTTTTCACTATCTCTACAAACACTACACACAAACCTCCAAGTCTAATATTGCTACATAACACCATTTATTACCCATTTCAGATGCAGACAGTTCCACAGTGGACAGTTCTACAGAAGAACAGCCTCTACCAAGACGAGTGAATGGTGTAGCCAGGGTCATTGGCATATTGCCTGGAATTGGCAACTACTCTGATGACAGTACTGACTCTAACTCCTCAAATAGTGACTCTGATCTCGATGAGTTCATGACAAGGCCCAAAGTGAAGAGAATCGTTATCCAGTCAAAGGAGGGATGTTAGCTTGGTCTTCCACAAGATGCTGCATCAACATCTTCCAACATCAGTTCCAGGACAAGACTGTACAAAGTGTCACCATGGGTGAAAGAACTGTTGATTTTAGTTACACAGAGATTTCAAGGAGCAATGTAAACAGTAGCATCAAATTAGCATATAATGCACTGGTATCTGAAATAAAACCATGTTTGTTAAGGGAACCTGTTGAAACATACTACCCCACGCTCCGAGAGGGATATTCTGGATATCCAGGTTGGACTTCATTTTATTGCTTGCCTAGGAGATGACGTCAAACAATAGTATGCCATATGGCTACGTAACTGGAGTATGTTCACCTTCCTTTAGAGTTAATCAGGGCAAGTACAAAAATCATGTACAGCAACATAACAACATGAATTCGCCCAGTATCCTTCTCAAATGTTGAGTAGTATATTAGAGTGACCTGGTTATGTTTACTTGGTTATGGACAGCTCTAATAACGTCAAATATCAGTAACAAAATAAATATGTTTTATTCGACAGAGGAAAACTAGCCCAAAGTCTACTTACAATATCATTTTTAACATTAAGCATGTAACTCAAGGGTCCTTGACTTGTTTAGAGTTAAAGGTTCAGTGGATCCCTAGGTTCAGATTCTACACCAGAACATTGCAGTGAGTCAACTACAAGAGCAATGATTCTCAAGCAAGACTTAAACATATTCACATAAAGTACAAATATCAATACACGTATCTTGGTTTTCAATTATATTTTCTCCTTACCTACCAAACAGGGTGTTCCTCATATAAATCTATTTATCTACAACTAAAAATGCCTTATTGGTTTTTTAAAATAGTTTTCCATACCTTCAAATTAGAGTGATTTACAAGAGTTTTGGTCAGGTGTTACACAAACTGTCAGTAAGATGTGATATACAAAATTCTTGCCCTGGGTATAGTTGTAATAAGTGCCTATGTAATTGATATTGTCACTCTGTAATTAGTTAGACTTATCTGCAAGAAAACGCTGTTAATTTTGATTTCCAAACAAGATGGTTTATTACCTGACTTAAGACATAAGAGGACTGCAACTGAACCTAGACCTCCTCCAACACCACATAATATTAATCATATTACCTGTAGCGAACTACATGTATGTTCATGGCCTTATAGCCTGACATTGAATATAATGTTATTTAGTGGAACACTTTAAATGGTGACTGGATGTGCCAGTGTTTGTTCATGCTGTTCATTTTAATTGTACAGGTGTATTATCATTGCTACCATCTTCATTCAATTTAACCTGTGTTGATATTCAACTTATTTTGTTGAAGTTGCAAATCATTAAATATTCTGAAATAAAGCATATTATTATACATGTTTATTTCTTTATTTGAAAATCAAAGAGAAGTGAAGGGTGAAATTGTGTCCGGGCATTGTAGTTGCAAGAACAATCTAAATTTGTCTCTTGTAAATATTTTATCGTAGCTATTCGTATTTTAAAAAGAATAAAAACTATGATAATTATCTTTATCTGTTAAAATTACAGGCATTAGAAAAGGCCCTATGAGCTCAGGTGTAGATTACAGAAAGATCTATCAGTGAGTGAGTGAATAAGTTTAGTTTAAACTTACTTTGAACAGAAGTTTTGTTGCGGTAAGTATTAGGGGAGGAAAGCAGGGTGTCCTGCAGGTCCCTGTTACCACCTTGGGGAAACCCAGGAACATGCATATGGTGCTGACAAACCTAAAACCATAGTCTGGCGGAACCAGGATTCAACATATTGCTGGTAGTTGCTGAGTGGGGCCTTAAACAAGAGGCAAACAAACAGCTAACGAACCCTGGCACACTTAAACAAACCTTGATGAACATGAACAAGGCTCTGGTGATCATGAACAAAGCTCTGGTGAACAGGAACAATCCCTCATAAACATAGACATACCTTGTCAAACATGAACAAACCCTGATGATCATGAACAAACCCTGATGATCATGAACAAAGCTCTGGTGAACAGGAACAATCCCTCATAAACATAGACATACCTTGTCAAACATGAACAAACCCTGATGATCATGAACAAACCCTGATGATCATGAACAAAGCTCTGGTGAACATGAACAAGACATTTTCATTACTGTCAAACTTGAAAAAGCCCTCAATAGCTTGGAAAATATCCTGATCAGTGTGGGCAAGCCCTGAAACTCCTTGTCAAATTGAACAGTTCACTATACACATGAACATGTCCCGACAGATCATAAAAACACCGATAAACACAAACAAGTCCTGATAGAGCACGAAAACCCTGATGAACATGAACAAGTCCTGATAGAGCACGAAAACCCTGATGAACATGAATAAGTCCTGATAGAGCACGAAAACCCTGATGGACATGAATAAGTCCTGATAGATCATGAAAACCCAGATAAACATGAACAAGTCCTGATAGAGCACGAAAACCCAGATAAACATGAACAAGTCCTGATAGAGCACGAAAACCCTGATGAACATGAACAAGTCCTGATAGAGCACGAAAACCCTGATGAACATGAATAAGTCCTGATAGATCATGAAAACCCTGATAAACATGAACAAGTCCTGATAGATCATGAAAACCCTGATAAACATGAACAAGTCCTGATAGATCATGAAAACCCAGATAAACATGAACAAGTCCTGATAGAGCACGAAAACCCTGATGAACATGAACAAGTCCTGATAGAGCATGAAAACCCTGATGAACATGAACAAGTCCTGATAGATCATGAAAACCCTGATAAACATGAACAAGTCCTGATAGATCATGAAAACCCAGATAAACATGAACAAGTCCTGATAGATCATGAAAACCCTGATGAACATGAACAAGTCCTGATAGATCATGAAAACCCAGATAAACATGAACAAGTCCTGATAGAGCACGAAAACCCTGATGAACATGAACAAGTCCTGATAGAGCACGAAAACCCTGATGAACATGAATAAGTCCTGATAGATCATGAAAACCCAGATAAACATGAACAAGTCCTGATAGATCATGAAAACCCAGATAAACATGAACAAGTCCTGATAGATCATGAAAACCCAGATAAACATGAACAAGTCCTGATAGAGCACGAAAACCCTGATGAACATGAACAAGTCCTGATAGAGCACGAAAACCCTGATGAACATGAATAAGTCCTGATAGATCATGAAAACCCAGATAAACATGAACAAGTCCTGATAGATCATGAAAACCCAGATAAACATGAACAAGTCCTGATAGATCATGAAAACCCAGATAAACATGAACAAGTCCTGATAGAGCACGAAAACCCTCATAAACATGAACAAGTCCTGATAGAGCATGAAAACCCTGATGAACATGAACAAGTCCTGATAGAGCATGAAAACCCTGATGAACATGAATAAGTCCTGATAGATCATGAAACCCTCATAAACATGAACAAGTCCTGATAGATCATGAAAACCCAGATAAACATGAACAAGTCCTGATAGATCATGAAAACCCAGATAAACATGAACAAGTCCTGATAGAGCACGAAAACCCTGATGAACATGAACAAGTCCTGATAGAGCACGAAAACCCTGATAAACATGAATAAGTCCTGATAGATCATGAAAACCCAGATAAACATGAACAAGTCCTGATAGATCATGAAAACCCTGATAAACATGAACAAGTCCTGATAGGTCATGAAAACCCTGAAAAACATGAACATGTCCTGATAGGTCATGAAAACGTTGATAAACATGAACAGGTCCTGATAGATCATGAAAACCCTGATAAACATGAACAAGTCCTGATAGATCCTGAAAAACCTGATAAACACCAACAAGTCCTGATAGATCACGAAAACCCTGATAAACATGAACATGTCCTGATAGGTCATGAAAACGTTGATAAACATGAACAGGTCCTGATAGATCATGAAAACCCTGATAAACATGAACAAGTCCTCATAAGTCATAAAAACCCTGATAAATATAGATCATGAAACCCTCTTAAACATGAACAAGTCCTCATAAAACTCTCATAAACCATGATAATCAGCGACAGTTATATTATTATCTCAAATGATCTTGAATTGTGAGGGATGGATAATTTAAACAAGTAGTTAAACACACCTGGAAAGATTTATTTAATGTGCATCTATTTAAAGGAAACAAAACTCCAACTTTTAGTCGTCCAGCCGGCGCCATTTAACCAGCCCGCGTCATCACCGAATGCCAACTGGCGTCAGCCACCCAACAAACTGGGTTTCGGACGAGCAAGGGAGTGCCTCATTGAAAACCAGGGAATCCTCTTGAATTGTCATATTTGATCAGATTATGCTTGCGAAAACATGTCACCGAATCCGTACATGTGTACAAATGTGTACGTACAGTTATGTATTTTAATAAGCATTAATTACGTGTAGGTATTATTTTGCGTCAATGAAATCAGTCAATTTACTCAATAGAGTGATGACTCTTTCTTTTTCAGCCCAATTCAGTATAACACAACAATTACCCCTCCCTTCTTGTCATCTATGTTTTATGTCCTCCATGCCCTACACGCGTGGGTTTGTCGTCATTGTTTAATGCTCAATTATTGCCTTTAATGCAAGTTTTGATTAGAGGTGACTGCACTCGGATAACCTTGACTCAATAAATTTCATGTCAAGTATACCAACCTTCAAAAGTTTAGACTCACTTAAAGAACTCACTATATTTTATGGGGCAGTGGGGTGGCCTAGTGGTTAAGGCGTTCGCTCGTCACGCCAAATACCCGGGTTCGATTCCCCACATGGGCTCAATGTGTGAAGCCCATTTCTGGTGTCCCTCACCGTGATATTGCTGGAATATTGCTAAAAGCGGCGAAAAACTAAACTTACTCACTCACTCACTATATGTTATGTATATTAATTACCTACGAGGGCGAAAATATCGGGGTTCATATTTTTCATACGATGCCCTAGGGCAAAATATCAATTTGTCATGGTGACGTGACGTCATGAACAATGCTTTGACGTCACTTTTCTTCTATGACGTTGCGTTCTACAAGCGGCGAAGGCGAGTTGCCAGCCTATGTTTGAAAGTAGATTTGGGTTTACTTTCCTCAATTAGACGACTTCAGTAATACATAGAATATCATATTTGTGCCCATATCTGTTTAGACACTCGTGCCTAAATATCGGTATATCATTTAGGCACTCGTGTCGTAAACATATACTCTCCCAAAAATGAAACGCATCATGAAAATAGCAATTTCATGTAGCAATGAATTAAAACGTGATTCATTTTACAAAAGGTTTTGCTCTGTTTATGAGTCCTATGGTGTTTATGTTTTGAAACAGCACAACAAAACGCACCATCCGTAAAATACCCGTATTTAACAGCATGATTTTCAATTTCGGCGTGTAGTGTCACAGAATACACAATTCACATGTAATGCACGTGAAAGTTGGGGATCAGATAGTCTCAATGATGGGTATGAAAGGTTGATCGCTGTCTGTCGATTATTCACTGTATTTGGAATATTGTTGACGAACGCAAAATGCCACGTCTAAGTGAAGCCAACCGTCATATCGCCATTGGTTTGTTTGAAGCTGGCCAATCTCAACGTGCAGTTGCCCGACGCATGAATGTCCACCAAAGCACCATTTCACGGCTCTGGGAGAGATATCGCCGGCAGAATTCGGTAGCAGATGCCCCTCGTAGTGGGCGACCTCGAGCGACCACTGCGGCGCAGGATCGCTACATCCGGGTACATCACCTGCGTCATCGAACAGCTACGGCGACCAGTACCGCTCGACAAATACCCGGATTGAGGAGGCTTTCTGCACAGACCGTCAGGAACAGGTTGAGAGAGGCTGGTTTACGTGCCAGAAGACCTTATTTTGGCCCTGTGCTTCGACAACAACATCGTCGACATCGAGTTCAATGGTGCACCAACGTTCAGGCCTGGAACCTACCGAATTGGCGTAGAATCTGGTTCAGTGATGAATCACGATTTCCACTGGAACGACGCGATGGAAGAATGCGGGTGAACAGACGTCGACGTGAACGTTTCGCCGACGCTTGCGTTCCCCAGGTGGACAGATTCGGCTGGGGCAGTGTTATGATGTGGGGAGCGATCACCTGCCGTAGGAGAAGTGATTTGGTGATGATCCAGGGCAACCTGACAGCTCAACGGTACTGTGACGAAATCCTACGCCCACACCTCCTTCCAATCATTGATCGCCAGAGGGAGTTGTTTCAACAGGACAATGCCAGGCCCCACACAGCACGTCACACTAGAGACTTCCTCCAGAACCACAACATCAATGTGCTCCCCTGGCCCTCAAGATCACCGGACTTAAACCCGATCGAACATCTGTGGGATGCCCTGGA